TAACAAACAAATGACAACAACAACCTCAGAAACATTATATAACACATCCTTTGTGTAACGAACACTCCCAGACAAGACAATTATGAACTGTCACACAAAGCAGCCAAGCGGTGTATGCCTTGGCACAAGGAGTTGGTGTGTGGCATCAGTTTCAATGACGCCATGCCGCATCCTTGCTCTGGTTGAGCTTGCATCCAGTTCTATAGACAATGTCACAAACAACGGCTTTGCCTCAGGTCTGATTGTATGTGCATGCTACGCCATGATTTTACGATTGACTGAAACTCAACAGTGGCAGCTGCCTGGCTTGTGTTCTAAGCTGAAACCTAAACTAAACTGTAGCGAGTAGGTACCAATCAGTCCACTAGCCGTTCCAAAAGTGAGCAAGTGAACCTCGGAGACACTCACATGTGAATGAAAAGACCTGCTTTCCAAATGTAAAAAACACAAAATCAAACAAAATCAGTGCAAACTGGCTACAGTTGCATTTCAATTCTTTCTGTATAAAAATATATATTGTATTATACAGTATGTTTTTTATTTTCAATAGTTGTATTATTTATCATTTATCGGGATTGCATTGGCATTGACTTTGACACCAACACAACCATTGAGCATCAGCGAACAAACTAGCATGATCTAAAATCTAGAATCTACAATGTGCATTGTACATATTCGGTCAAAGTCTTGAATCCAAAGTGCAAGTGCAAAGTCTTGAATCTTGAATCGACATGTGTCAAGAGTCCAGTGTCACAAATCAACAACATACAAACACAAGAAGTCTGGTGACTTAGAGTGTTAAAGTTCTGCAAGCAAGCTGAGCTGCATCCTGCAATGTCCTCAGCGCTGTGGTGAGCTGAGACATCCATAGTTCCGCTATAGCACAACGGACCTAAGCTCAGATATCCTTGGGGTGGCGTTCTCGAAAGTTTCCATTGTGTCTAGGATGGTGTAAATTTGGTTACACGATAAGCTTATATAGTGTTTTGTATTGTTGCTGCAAGCTTTGCTTTTCCTATGTGGTTTTGCTGGGCTTTGCTTAACTGCTTAACAAACATTGAATAATTTTGTATTTTGTGGCTGTGGTCAGAATACTCATAGATCTCTGGATGAAACATAGTGGAGAGTCGAGAGTAAGGAGCGAAGAACAGAACAAAATGTAAAATACCATACCATGTCACTTACTCTGGCCAAAGCACTGACGAGATGTGTGATGTGCTTGAGGACAACCAGTATGCCAAACTGTTTAAGCTGAACATGCATGGAGTCTTTGAGCGCAACTTGGATATATTTCCACCATCACATGCGGCACCAAACCTTAGCTATCAAGGGCCAACTTGTGCGTTAGTCAGCTAGGGCTATTTAAGCAACAACTTTGGAAAGGGACGATACATTAAATATATTATTTACTATAAGACTATAGTATACAGTAGCAATTCAATGTGTGTTACTATTTATTTTTGTCATCATAAGTCCTGATTCAGGGATTCAGATGATAAGCTTTAACTTGAGAATTAAATAATGCAAATGATTGCTGAGTATCTTCACTGTTCACAAAACGACTTTACCCACAGCTCATTCATTCAGTGTTGACACTTCAGGAGTGACTATGCCATCATCCAATCTAGTGTCAAGAATCAAGAAGTCAAGAGTCCAGAGTGAAGAGAAACAAAAAAGAAACTGCAGTGTAGTTCCAATTGCATACAATATACACATACATTGTAGGTGTAGTCTATGATTGTTTTTTAGAGGTACTGCCAACATAACATGTTGGGACACGATCTCAATATTTATAAGGCTTAAACTTGAGTTTGAGTTCAATATTTGAATTGGAATCAAACCTTGAGTTGAGTCAAGTCAGGCGGCGACGCACGTAGCATTTGGGCAGTGGTCCATGTCTTGTATCGACCTCGCCCAGCCACCTTTGTCGATGTCGTCTCAGACTTTCGCACTGCATGATCTCTGCGATATTTTTGCAGAAGACCTGGAGTTCTGTGGCAAAAGTCATACAGCAATGCACTTCTTTGTTGAAGCAATCATTGGAGTCAAGACTGGTTAACGATGGATCGCAAGCTCAAATGATGGACCCACTATTCAAATGGGCCCACTACTAGTCAAGAGTCAAAACCAAAACCTTCAAAAACAACACAAGTTCGTGCTAATTTATGTTCCTCTCACAAATACATAGTTTGCTCAAACCAGAATGCAGAGCAGTGATGAACACTTAAATTAAATGAAAAAGTCAAAGACGAATCTAATATTGTACTATACTACTAATTGTCTATAATAATATTAACTGATTGAAGTGTAAGGTATCATTGTGTCGATGGAACTGCAAGAATCCAAGACTTGTCAATGTCAGACTTGAGGCCCAGTGGCAAATCACGATGTGTCTGCTTCTGAAATCTGCGCTTAAGCTGCTTGAGCTCTTTGCCTTGGCATAACCAACTTTGTGCTATGTGTAGTAGTATGCATAGTTATGCAATGAACCTACAGCGTACAGTGGCGTACAGTGTAAGGTGAAGTCAAAGAGTGAAACACAAGATCAATACTTTTATTGTTTTAATTGAATCGTATCATCTTAGAATCTTATCTTATCTTCAGTCTTTCTGAATCTTTCTTTTGCCGACGAGTGACTATGCCGATGCAAGACAAAATTACATGTGATAACAATGTGAACAGTGGACGTGAGAACAGAGCAATTAAGACTAACGACTTAGACTTAGACTTAGACTCAGACTTCAGTTGTGACTTCAAAGTAGGTCAACACCCCTTCAAAGCAAAATGTAAGCCAATGAACCGCTTAGTTGGCCCTTGACTCAAGTGGAAAAGGAAGTATCACATCTTGTCCGCCAAGACACACTTCCGAACGTACTTCAGGTGGAGAGGAAGCCGGGTAGGATTCGCAGTATGCCTGTGAGTAGTCTCCTTGTCGTCTTCTGCAAGCAGCTGGTTTGCTTGCACCAAATGAAAGTGCACGTTGGCTGCCATGCAACCCCCCAAAACACATGCGCTTGGCAATCTAGAATCTATCATCTAGAATTTAGAATGTAGAACCACTATGCACAAGTGGTCCAGTGGTCTAGGTTATGGTGGCCAATTGATCTGATAGACTTTAAACTTCATGATCCCAGTCTGCAAATCCTGACCTGTCATGGGTTCTAGTGGTCTCATTTATTCTTGTGTATTCGATCTTGAATCTTGAATCTCAAATTTGTTGCAATGACAAACCATCAGAAAAAGAAATCTTGACACTTGACACAAGAACATGTAAATGTGTACCCATGTTGACAATTGAAAAGGGACACCTGTCATATGGTCATGTGATATTACATTAGCCATGCGCGCTCCCCTTGGGCCAGTGAAGTTTGAACCACACGCAACATGTTCTGTAAAGTTGGATTCAGTCTAGTCTAGTCTAGCGTCTAAGTCTAGTCTAGAGTCTCAGAGTCATGTCCACCTTGTGAAAGTCAATCGAACAGAGTTGTGTGTGGGACACATGTTTCACAAACCCAGACAGTCTCCCAAAGAGAGCTGCTGAAAATTCAGATTCAGATTCAGAATTCAGATGCAGCCCTGTGAAAGGGAACATACACAGCATTTGCAATACTGCAAAACACTAAGTCAAGTCCGAAAACATAAACTCTGAAATTGACCCTGAAACATGCATAAGCAGCACTATTGTCAAACCCGCTAATGCACTTCAGTCGATGCCGCATGAGCTTGGCAGCTAAGGGACGGTTGAGCGGATGCCTTCCAATATACATCCCAAGAGAAACACACATAACATAACATCACATAACAAAAGTTGAACAAATGGAACACCAAATGCAGAAATTAAAAGTGAAATATGCATCAGAAGGTTCAGCCAAACATATTGTTAGGAGTCACAAGCAAACATCTACTATTCCAGGAAACTGAAAACCCACCGTCCCCATTCATTCCTGCACTTTGTCATGCGCACAGGACTCATCAAGAGAGTCCAAAGTATTTGTGAGCCTTGATCAAAGACCCCCATACTCAAACTCAAAATACGATATATGTATATGAATGTGACGAGCACATTCTGTATCCCCGGGTAATGCTGAGTATTGCCATCCTCTCTACTACTCTACTCAGTCTTCTAGCTCGAGCATCGCATCGATCACCGCGCACTGGTGCATATCACCATGAGGATCTGGTCGTTGAAGGTAGTGAGTCTCTACTTCCTCATTGGACTTCTTCATCAAAATTTTCATGACTTCCCATCCAGTTTCGGGTTCAAGATCGCGCACAAGCATGCTGGCTATCTTGTGTGCCAACACCTTATACTTGGGTTCGAGGATGGTGGCAACTTCGAACACGATCTCTGACACTTCGGCAGGCTCGGGCTCTGTGTATGCCATCACTGCGTATGATCGGAGCACCCAAAGCTCGAGATTCACCCAAATGCTGCTACGGAAATGCATCGAAAAGCATGTGTGCAAACGTTGCAGCCCTAACGACTTCAAATTTCAACTAAACATTGGGTGTAGCTTTAGTTTTCATAATGCAATCGTTCAATCCAAATCTTGATTTGAGTGCTACATGCATCTCTGAAGAATCTGAAGTGTAAGGGCTCTGCTTAAGTGAACTTGAGTGCACTGTGGCTAACTACAAGTGCTGATGCAGGTCGTATGATCTCAGATTCTCAACAAACCTGGATGACATTCAAAGTTTAAATCAAATCACATCTGTCAGTGGTGTGTATCATAACACATTTTAAAAGGCCATTTGTGAATCTAGTATCTATCGTACCTATATGTTGTACGTATCGCACCTGTGTGTTGTACCTATCGTACCTGCGCGTTGCACCTGTCGTACCTGTACGTTGTACCTATCGCACCTGTGCATTGTACCTATCGCTCCTACACATCGCACCTAGCCTCCGCACCTGAACGTAAAGCACTTCCAGAAGCCATATGTCTCATGGCTCTTGAGTCTAGCTAACGTGAAATCATTGTTCATTTTCCCCCTAGGTCCTTGTAGAGCTTGGCATGAAAGACCATCAAGGCTTCATCATCCTTGTCAATGTCATCGCTGCGGTTCTCCTCTTTCACCAGCTTTTGCCGATAAGCCTGCCAAACCAAGGCATACGCCCTTCCAAGGGTCTTGGCCTTCGCATGCACACGCTTGTGGACACCTCGGCCGTACTTTTCACCGGCCGAGTGCATCCAATGATTGAAGGCCTCATCAGCCTCAGCTAAGTTTTGGAAGTGTCGATGCACTTCTTCGGCTTCTTCTTGCACCACAGGTGTTGCAACCTGAATTGGCTTCGTATACACGCAATTGCCACGGAAAACATGTGCCAGGTTAAGCAACTGTTTAGTTCAAACTGGTCTTCCATGCTTCCCAGTTTTTACATGAGCTCACATGTTTTTACCATGGTCACCTTCACAGCGTGAAAATATGTGCAAATCCTGACAACTCTCTCAAATCATTCTGGGCCACCTTCTCTTCTGTGGCATGCTTTTCTGGCCGACGATATTTCTGAACTAGACTGGGATCCAAAAGGACTTCTGCTTCCTTCTGCTGCTTCACCTTTTCCTCCTCCAAGGGACCTACTTCACCGGCAGATCCGGCACCTCAAAGTCAAAGGAGGTGACAGAGCTTGGTGTTGGACACATCTATTGATGTTTATTTGCAAACACAGAACTGTATCCGCATAAATACACACAGATATATATATATATATACACATACATATTAGCACATGTCGAAGCACAACTTATCTGCCCAAGCCATTCCAAGCAAACTGATTGGAACCGATTCGGAACCAATTGTTCTCTATGATTCCATTTATATATGTCACCCCAAATGAAACCCTGCAACTAAGAACCGCAAGGGGGTCGGAACTCCATCTTCACTCGGAGTTGGCGCCTTCTCTCAAAGAGGCCAACAATTCCTTGAGGTCGTAACTGCTGGGATCCGCAATGGCCGAGGCCACTTCACCTCGCACCGGATCTGAGGGGCGCCAATTCAGCCCCACTTCCAGGCCGAGATCCTGCAAACAAGAGACCTGAGGAAGACACGGATTCTTGGCTTGGATCCAACAGCTCCATTGGTTGTGTACTCCCCGAAATGGCCCTGGAATGGTATAAGTAGAGTAGAAAGGCAAATTGATTAAACCATATTTTTTAGTATAAATGTGACTATTAAAGGTGAAACAGTTAAGAAGCAACAAACAAAATAACGGCCTGTCGCTGGAAGTTGCGGCCCCAGAAGGAATAGTGGCCATCCTCTCCAATGGCCAGGGTGGTGCTGTTCCCTGCGCGTATTTCCTTGGTGCCGGCCGGAAAGCCCTCGATGACAATGGGCGTATGGATTTCGGGATCGCCGCCTACACGGATGCAACCGTGCTGATTGACTCCCCAGCCCAAACATTGGCCGTTCTCCAGGATGGCAAAAGCATGGTCGTGACCGGTCGCAACGGACCTCACGCCTTCTAAAATCGGCACTGGGACTTGTTGGTGTCGGGTGCTGCCGGTGCCCAGCCGTCCGCCAGCATTGTAACCAAAGGCCATAACCATACCACTCTCCAACAGTGCCAGGGTGAAATCCATTCCAGCCACGACTTGCCGGACATAATTCAAGACTTTGGTGGGTTCCGTCTTGTTGCGGTCAGAGCAGTCTCCCAGCTGTCCATGGCTGTTCCGACCCCAGGACAACAACTCACCAGAGCTCAACAAAGCCATGGAATGGCTCCGCCCTGCAGCCACTTGCTTCACATCACTCAACAATGCCTGGGGACTCAGCAAGTCTGGAGAGACATTGCCTTGGATCTGAGACATGGCAAAGGTCACAGGAAGTGTCATCGTAGAACGGAATGCACAGCAAAAGTTCCGACACGTGGTGTCAAGTGCTATAGTTATGTTGGGCAATGGCAGCATTACATGACCAACCAGCAAATATGTTTTGTGTGACAAAAGCGAAAAAAACAGCAACGCCAAAGCAAATGAAAATGCAAAAGCAGCGCAATTTGCTTTGTTTTTGCATTGTTGTTGCTTTTTCCTGGTACCACTTCTGCACTTATGAGATCTTTTACCCGTCAGCAATATTTGCTGTACGCTCCTAGGACAAAAGCGGAAAAAAAGCGAACAAATGCAAAAATAAAGCAAACAAAAGCGACAAACACGCACAGCTGCATTTGTTTGCTTTTTTGTTTGCTTTACCTTTTGCTGTTTTTTGCTAGTTGTTTGCTTTATAAGTTATTTTGGCTCCTTGTATCTGTGGCTGGCGCGCCCGACATAATGCTACAGTGCTACAGGCAATCCTGGTGTTCATCCTCCTTGCTAAATGTGCCTATTCAATTTGATCCAACATGACCTACTAGAAAAAACATCCAGCCAACATCAGCCCGGTTGGCTAAAGCGTTCCTCCTCAGTCACCGGCTTCGCCACATTCGCACCCCATCCAAAAAGCAAGGTCCTCTCGAGCCCTGGGGGCCTCACCTGCGTCGACGAAACACAGGTTTCTACAGCTCAAGGAGCCCAAAACAACTGCGATTCGGATAGGCTTTGAACATCTTAGAACTTGGCGAAACCTCCATAGACTGATGGAACTGATGGATAATGGAATGAGGGCCCAGATTGATTCATGGAATGCCATGTTCTCTCGGCATCTCCCAGCCCCAAACGTGGTTTTGTTCTTTTCCTGCCCGGAGGAACACAGTGCCGAGTGGCCGATCTGGTACAAACCGACAGCGTCTAACATTGAGACATGTTCTTACATATATTGATCGCAAAAGATCTGTCTTCGGCCCAGGGGCGATCGCCAGGCTGTGGTCCTGCCCCGCCGCCAGTGTCTCGGCGTTGAGCTGTTTCCCTCCCAGACTCATGAGGCTGATGGGCGGCTTCACAGTGACCGGCCTCCAAAAGGTCATATATGTGGATAGGCCACGGCCACAGAAAGCAGAACAACGAGCGTTTTCTATCGTTTTCTCAAATCAGTTTGTATAATGAGGTAAATATCCCAGCAGCCTGCCAAGAACATCCAAGAACCTAAGAAGCATGGGTTTTAGCAGCATTTGTCAGGCCTCATTCGATCCGTCTTGGTGCCATCACCCAGTTGTCCACAGTTGTTGCGGCCCCAGGCTAAGGTCTCACCTGTTTGCAAGGTGGCCAGGCTGTGGTACCAGCCTGCGCATACAGTAGCAACCTCCTTGAGGATGAACACTGGCTGATGACGCTCCTCACGTGTCCCATCTCCCAGCTGTCCAAATTGATTGCTACCCCAGCCATAAAGGTCTCCAGTGCTGAAGAGCGCTAGAAAATGAAAACCTCCCACTGCGATCTCCCTGACCTCCATGGTCCGGCCATCAGGCGAAGAACAGCTCTTAGGTTTTTCACGACTTGGCTAAGCTGAATCCAAATGGCCAGACGTGGCTTCCGGCACGGCTTCACATTGTTTTAGACAAAATGGTACAAACTTAGTACAAATTCAAATTTGTGTATGTATGTATATCTTATAATATATTGATTGATTTCCAATCATTTCTATAAATATGCATGTCTATACAGAATATCTCTGCATAAAGCAATTGGTAGCGATGCGTGGCGATTGGTGGCAACATGCTGCGCACCAACAAGCCCACCAATAGAGGCTTGGTCCTACGAATCTTTAGCTCCAAATCCACTTCTTCAAACGCGTCTGCCACTGCCTTTGTTGCCAGGAGCATCTAGGGGCACTTTGAAACTTGTAGGCCTTCCAACACCAACAATACATCGGTATGCATCGGAGTTTACAAGCTCACAGAGCTGCGAGCTCTGCTTATAAGTCTGCATGACAAGCTCGAACCCGATTCTGAAGCCCATCTGCATGTCCAACTCTTGGCAAATCAGCCAGGAGGCCCAAGGTCAACAACATGGCAGCAAAGCTCCAAGGCGTCCTTGCCCACTTTTTCCATGATGGGTGCCTGGAGAGTGGCATGAACCCGAACCAAAAACTTCTGGTGTTGTGTCGTGTGGCAAAATCAACAGGATCTACAACCTCTTTCTTGACTTGGTCTGACACTTTCTGTCAGAGTGTCGGGTGCCTAGCTGAAAGAGATTGTCACTGTACACAGTGAAGGGAAGAGTGCAGGAAAGAACATCCACACACTCTGAAGCGAGTTGAACATTATTCCATCAGGATATCCCATGTGGTGCTGGCATCCTCTGGCAGTCCAGCATGTGATGAAGGTCCAATTGCCTCGCAGCCCAGCCTTGATAAGAAGTGCAGCTTCCATGAGGTCGTGAAAGTCCACCTGCGCTCGGTTTCGTGCGCAAGGAATTGCGGTGGAACGCCAAGCGATGTCTACCGGATGTGATCGGTGCCCTGGTTCTTTTCGGCTTCAGCGGTAGCGGTAGTGTCGGAAGGTAGCATGACAACCTGAGTTCATCCACGCCTCAAAAGGCAGAGCAATAGCATTAAAATGCATCAACAAATCAGCATAAATCAGCATGGTTTAGCAAATCTCCCATCTAGCCACAACTTCTACGGTCCCAGCATGTCCCGTCCGGCACTCCAGCACTGTTCATGGGCGAATTTACTATCAGAACGCTCCCAAGATGGGTCTACGCAGTCTACGCTCTAACAAAGAAGCTACCTGGGGCTCCTGACCTTACTACTAGGAGCAAGAAGCTACGATCGGAGCACTCCTGGCATCGCTACGAACGGAGCAAGGACGCTACGATCGGGGCTCCTGACGGTCGAATGGGCCCGAAGGATGGCCTCGGGCCCCCGTGACAGGCACTTGTACCAAGCGCGCACCAAGTGGCGATGCGTCTCCTGGAGTCGATGCGACCGGACCTCTTCGGGGAAACCTAGGAGCTTCTTGTTCCTAGTAGCGTCCTTGCTCCTAGGTAAGGCCAGGAGCCACTAGTAGCGTCCTTATTACTAGTAGCGATGCCACGATGCCCTTAGATGTTTCTCTCTATAAAGGTTGATGCACAGTTCAATCCAAATGGCCCTTGCCTCAACATGTGGGGTTGAATCATTTTTGAGGTATTGATGATGAGGCCTATTCTTCATCATCTTATATCCCTTTCTGATGGGTGCTGCCAAGCATGAAACAAAAAGCCTGCCCCGTGCTGTCCGCCCAATCCCCTTGGCCGAGATCCATGTGTAAGATGCCTGATGCCGCGAGGTAAAGCTTCTGAAAGGCCCCCTTGACTGAAACCATGGCTTCAAGAAAACCCGGCTTTTGTTATGTAGCAAGGCGTGTGATCCGTGTCCTCGGGCTGTCGTAGAACCTCCACGGCCGCCGCATGCCCTGAGTCCTCGCAGGAACGGTCCGATATTGGGCCCCACGGGCAGCAAGGGATGAGATGTGACCAACCCGAGCTCTTCAAACAAACTGACTGAATGCTTGGCCCTGACCCCTCCAAAAGCATACAGCTGCTACACCTCAAACGTGAAACCATGTTCTCCTCTTCCATCAGGGTGCAGGATGCAGTTTTTTGGAGTCACACATTTGAGGGTCGCGTATTGAAGTGATGAATATTTAAAAAAACACTTGAGCTGATGTAAATTGAACATGTTGAACAAACCGCAGGCAGCAGCACCTTGGTCAAATCCAGGGCACTGAAGCCTTTGCTATCCAAGGCCAGCATGACCTGGCTAAGGCCGTTGCAGGCGACAACCACCAAATGTGTTTTTTTCTCCACCCCTGCAAGTTCCAAACCATCACTGAACTCCTGGTTGTGCATACTCATGTTGAATTGACTGTCAACTGGTGGGAGTAGCGCCCTTAAGGAATACCGAATATATGACTGCTTAGAGCAAGCATGGCCACCAAATCCCACTTGTTATTTCCGAAACACCTTGGAACTGCACTGCAGTAACGCCATCAGGGTTGCTACCCTGATGCAGGGTTCACAGTTCAACATCAGGGTAGCAACTGCCTGATGTCCGATCGGGCGTTGACCGCACATCGGACGAGCGGTGAGTGTTGACCGTCACGTTTCGACCGTATGCTCGGAGAGCCCCCACCATCCACATGCGCCTCTGTGGAACAATGAGGTGCCAAGATGTTCAAGACCTGCCATTGGACGAACAACTGCTAGGTGTCAACCAACCTCCGAGGTTTAGATTGCGCCAGGCAAGAACATCAAACAAGGAGATTGCAAGCACCTTGCACATTGGCTGGTGGTGTGCCGCAGCTAAAGCATCAAGTTCTATTTAATTGGAATCCACGGAATCCACCCTTGCATCAATCCAACCTACCAACGTCCATGCACCACGATCCACGACCCTCATTCATCCGTCCGTCTGAGCCATCGCCTCCGCATGTCCCTTCAAGGCTGCCAGGTGCAACGCTGTCCACTCGTCTGGCGTCCGCAGCGCCAGCTGCGCGTTGGCCGCCACCAACTGTTCGCAGCAGCTGGCCGCACCACCTTGGACATCTGGGTGCCAAAGGCCCAGTTGCGGTCCAAAGTCTCGCCCCTCAAACCCCTTTTATGGTGTGCATGGGGTACTGATGAGGGGGATTGTATGCACCACATTATCCAACAAATCGTGCGACCACGAAGAGTTCAATCCGGAACAAACCTTCAGCATGATTTTAAACGTGTCCTACTTAGGGTAGTTATGAGCTTGGAAATGGAAGTGAAAACGAATTTGTAATTCAATGACTTAATGTGTACTTCGATAAGTGGCAGTAATAATAGTTTTAGTTCTACGTATTGAACATAATCTATGTTATGTTATATCTTATTTGCCCTAGAAAATGTAAGGTGGAAATATGTTCTAAGCAAATTCAGTTTAGTTGAGTGGAAACTTTGATTGTTTCATGTTAGTTAAATGTAGCTTATTGAAGTTAAACATAGTGTCAGAACTATTTTTAAAGCGCGTCAATACAGGCTGTGGTTCAAGTGTTTGGAGCAAATATTTAGCTTTAGTGTGCGTTGTGCCGGCAGCAACAGAGTAAATCTTTGCTCAAAATATGTTACTTTTTTGATATAGTTGCCGGCCTTTTGTCGACCCCCCTTCAAAAACCATGGGAAAGATATGCGTTAGTGCAACTATAGTAAGAGTCGCATGGACGAAAACTCCACACCTGTCGGCTTTTATCGGCTACCTGTCGGCTGTCGGCCCTCTCCTATTGGGAAACCGCTTTTGATTCCGCAGCGGGTCTGTAGATCGAACGCCCGAGCCTTCGCACAAATGAAATGAATCCAACTATCTCTCTGCCCGGTGAGAACAAACCTGTTCTTCCAAGTTTAATCAGCGTAACGTTGTCCTTAGTTAGAACTAACAATTATATAAATGTATACTACAGTATACTACAGTTGTAATGTAAAGCACGTTCAAAACTATGCGAACTAAGTTATGTTTGCATGAACCTAAACGGTTTATTGAGATAGGACACAAACTCAAGAAGCCACAGAAAGAGTGCTGAGATTGCGCTTCACCGAAGACATTTCTTAGTTCACTTGCTGGTAGTTCTGGCGATCTTTCGTGAGGTTTCATATGTTTGTGGGCAGCAAGCTGCAATGTCAAGTCCCACCGCGGTTGGTGGGCCCAACAAATAATTAAGTCATTAAGCGATCGAAGCCAGTTCTCAGCGACTTGACACGATCGCCCCGGCCGCGTGTGCTTGAATGAGACCAGCAGCGTTATGCCGAGGGGCTATAGGCTCCAGAGTGCAAGGGTGTCCATCCCCGACGGCAGCGCTGATCAATCATGGTCTGGAAGCGAGACGCTGAGGTTCTGTCAACACCAAAACTATATATATATAATATAAACACATAAGAATGTTAGACCCTCCAAGGGGTGCCCAATGGAAGCCTATAGGTAGTGTGGGGTAGTTGATTGGACACCCCTTGAAGGTCCAGGTAATATATATATATATGTGATATATATATATACAGTATATATATAAATATGTGTGTGTGTCCCTTAACTTATATGTCCATATATATATATGTATATTTCCCAGTTCTTGGCCATGAATGATTCTCTTCGACCTCTGTACCTACCGATCTCTGAAGCTGGGCCTCAACATAGAGCGGCACCGCCAGGAGAAGTCTGCAGAGCCTGGCTCCAGGGCAGTTTGGTTTCACCCAAGGACCGGGAGTCCCAACCCGTTCACCTGTTGAGTGGCCCGGTGACCATGTCAAGCCGAAGTACGGCACAGCACCTCCTGGCCTGGGAAGATCCAAGGCACAGCACCAGTGAAGCGCCGTAAGGCCTCGTTGGTCTGAATGCCAGGCCAAAGCACCATGCCTGGCCCAACAACTGCACCATTTCGGCATCCGAAGCATCTGCTGCTCCAACTCCCAGCTCTAAACAGACCCTTGACTTGCGTTCGTTACGGTGGAACCGTGTATGACATATAAATGTCTTTTCAGAAAAGGAACGAGTGAAAGGACAACCAATGGTGCGTTTCCGAACAGCAAAGGCATCATCTACAGAAACTCATTTTCACCTCATCGGGCCATTCACAAGCATCAAAGCGAAGTATCTACATAAGGGCAAGCGAAGTTTCCTGAGCGATAAGCTTTCAGAACGCACTTGGTCAAATTGACCTTCCGCTTGCCTACTTTCCTCTACAAACCGGCGTGTTTCCATGACTAGATGGAGGCAGGGTGAGGCCGAATGACGTGGACCATCAATTGCTGGTCCTCCCAGCATGCCAACATCTCCCATTGAACTGGTGGATTCCTTGGGGCCCGCATGCGGCGCGTCGTGACCATAATCCATCAAAATTGGATGGCCGAGGCCCGGTGATGGAAATCACCCAAACTCCACGGGGTTGGTACCAAACAAATCAAAGAGGACACCCTTTTCGAGCAAGGGGGCACAAGCCCTGCTGGCCCTTCTGGGTATGGGTGCCAAGTCTGCCATCCAACCAGGGGGCAGTCTTACTGCATCAGGGGATTTGGAGCCGTATCGTGCAGGTCAAGCACCCTTGCAGTTGTAAAATCACCTCGTAGATGACTTGTCCATCTAAGGTCCTTTCTTGACTAGTGACATCATGTGAAAGAGGTCGAAACTTCTTAACATGTTCGTGACTTGTTCCACTCTCCAGTGCAAAACCATGCAAAACCACTTGTGTGTAAAGGAAAGGAGCTGGGTCGTCTGCTTCCACCTTCCACGATGATTGGAGGGTAGTATTCAGTATTGGGTCTCCAACTTGCTAGCTTCTTGCTACTAGTGGAAATGATGGCTTCCAACCTGTTTGCGAGACCTTTCCTGTGGTCTCACGGGCTGCCACCATGGCCTCAACAACAGTTGCATCGCTCCAGCCATGCCATGCCGCACAGCCCATAGCAAGGGCGTATGTCCGTACTGATCCTCCTAGCCATCTCAGCCGAGAAGCTGAACCCTTGATTTTGAACGCAAATTGAAAGAACAAACCAAAGACATGTGACGAGAGCCATCATGAGGCACTTAAACCAGTGCATGCTAAGCGCATTTGATACCCGATATTGTGCCATGCGGAAAGTACACGTGTACTAGTGGCATCTGGTTCACATGTCTACCATCTGAAGGCAGTTCCAGATTACAATCAAGGCTCACCTCACCAGCTACCCAGCTCACCTCCCAGGCCCCGGTGGCGCGTCCTGGAAGTTCAGCTGCGGATGTTGCCGCAGTAAGGCCTCGCACAAGTCCAAGCATCCACAGCCAGCCGCGTAGTGCAGCGCATTGGCATCATCCAACTGGCGGATGGTTGGCGCGTCGTGGGTGCTGAAGCTTTTGTGGCTATGAGATGTGCTGAAGCAGCGTGTGTGAAAGCCGGAGGTGACTCTGAGGCAAGCAAGTGGTTGCCAGCATGACCTCCTGAGCATGAATCTGAAATCCGGCTTGTGCACCACTTCGCTAGCAAAGGTCTCTTGACAACACAATTGAACCTCAATTGGACAGCCGAATTGCAATAAAGCCGGAAATCGTGTTGAGCAGTGTTTCTACTAGTGTTTCTCAAGACTTGGCATGTCCACTCAGTAGCATCAAGACCTCTGGTTAACTGGCCAAAAAACGATAAGTTTTACCGGAATAGGACGAATAGGAGTGTCGGCTGACTTCCATGAGTGCAAGCTTGCCCCCTACCTATAGCCTCTAGCACCCCTGAATCCTTCTCCTATGTATATAAACCCAAACAAAATTCACACACACACACGTACATGTGGCACAGTATGATACAGTAGACCAATCAAACCAACTACGCATGTGTGAGTTTGCAAAAGCCAGCCATGCACTCTATCCAACACCATCACACACACACAGCAACATACTCGTACATACTGTCCTTGATTTACAATGGTTCACATACGTGTATTGTAGATCGTCTACCGTATGTCTTCATCAGTCATCCCCAAAGCAAAGCCAACCATTTTTGTTTGGACGCCTGGAGTTCGAACTCTTGCAGCTCAAAGCCTCAGTCTCGTGATGTTGAAGGGCCGAACGGGCCGACAGTCTTCGGAAACGGTTTTCAGCCCGGGCAGAGATGCCAGTGCGACGCTCGATGGAACAAGTATGAACTTGTGATATGTGATGTGTTTGACGTTTGACCTGAAAAACAACTTGCATTAGGGATGAACAAGACGCCCTATAGCCAAGCTAAGATCTGGTTAGATGCAAATTCCACACACCAAGCCAGAAACGCGTTCCTCAATGGATTGCAGCTTGCAGGACCACCGCCGTGATGTTCACAGCAAGTCTCTGCAAATGGGCCGCATGACGTTCGGAAGATGTTAAAGAATTGGTTTTTGTCCATCTGTTCACCCTACATGAGGTTGCCATGACCTTAGACTGGTGCAGGTCAAGTGGCCGGAAGAACATGAGGAGTTGGCTCGTAACTTATTGCACTATAGAAGATCCACTCGGCAGCTCTCAAGTGCCACGTGCCAGACAAATTCTCCATCATGGTTGGAGTGCTATCCACTCCTTGCGTTCCAAAACCTTCCAATCTGGTTCTGCCCGTGCCAAGAGGCTCTGCAAGATGGACAGCACTCGATTGCTCGAAGCCTCGTATTCCGCCTGGAAGGCTTCAGGCGCTTCCAAGGAGCTCCGGTACAAGCCTGGGACTGAAGGGCTGAAAGCCGGCGAGCGGGGACCAAAAAGCGTCTGTAAGCCCCAAAGGCGCTCCTTGTGGCAGCCTTCCCATTTCGGGCCACATACTTGTGCCAGGAGGATCACCATCCAAATTGAGGTGGCTGGGGTCTGGGCCCGAGTCCGATCTTAGAATCTTAGATTTTATTTTGTCAGATTTTCTACACAACGACGCTGAAGAAACTGCGAGTTACAAAATGCAAGTCGGACTTGGCCACAAAATGGAGCAGCAAGCAGAAACTTACTACAATGTGAAGCTGCCTGGTCTAGACATGGAAAGTCTATACAAGAAATAACATCAAATGACATGCTTCAAACATACTACAGAATGACCCTTTCGATCCTACATGTCAAAGTGCTCTTTTACTACAACGGTTCACTCCGCGAGATGAACGTTCTTGACCTCTACAAAAGGCAGCAAAGTGAACATATTCGTAAAGGAGTTGGCAACGCGGATGATCCTTTAAGTCGTTTAAGCAAACTAACATATCTGGTCGTCGTTGTCTCAAGCAACTGAAACTCGCAGCCAGTCTTGCCTGCTAAGATCTCGGGCACCGGCCTTAGGTTGGTGAAGATCAAAGGCATACTACCAATATATATATATAACTGAAAAATGATGGGAAACCCTTACCCCCCGAATACACCCTTGATCCTCAACTTCAATAAATTACGGGATCTATATAATATCACATTATCCATATTATACACTCCTTGAAAGAATCATGGGAGTGGAAAACCACCGCACCTGTTTGATTCTATTTGTAGCTTCTTGTTCCTAGTAGCGATGCCAGGAGCCCCTAGTAGCGTCCTTGTTAGTAGTAGTAAGGCCAGGAGCCCCTAGCAGCATCTTGTTACCAGTACATAAAGGAAAAGGATCATCCTGCGGGACACGTTCCACTTGCATGATTATTTCGGGGAGTGCGCCAATTCCCAGATTTGGACGTCGAAAAACAGGTCCGCGAGGTGAAGACAAGGATCGGCCGAAGCGAAAGCGATCGGCAAAGACATGCCGGGTGGAGAAGGGAACACGATCTCCCTTGGATGTTCACGGGCCAACCTTCTTTGCACCAGTTCATTGCATGGATGAAGAGTGTGGATGTCACAAAAGGCTGAGAAGAGCGGTTCCATTCGTATCCCATTGTCCATGGATCCATGGAATGAATTACATGCCATCCTGGAAAAACTCCTCTGCAAAACACCTTCTCCACCGGAACCGTTGCTGCCCACGGCACTTGGGCTCCATCTTACCCGCACGGGGATGGCGCAGCTGTGCGCCATGGCTTGAGCCGCCGCAGCTCACGAAACCGACCCTGCCTGCGCAAAAACATGCAAAAACACTATTCTATTAAAGTTGTGTTCAACACTATTTGCCATGATACAGTATAGGATCATTTATGCTGTGCATGTGTATCAACCTATATAATAAATGAATATAGTTATCTATGATATTGTTATATATGCTGCCCTAAACGCATTTCTGCACATGTCGAACCTTGGTAATTTACACAATATAAGTAGCCACTTTCATTTCTTCAGCAACGGTCCCCAGTCCAGGTCTTCGTCTCTTTCTGTTGTGACGATTGGCCCGATCGAGAATCACGAGAATCACACAGCGCCAGCTAGGCATTTGTTTGACGCAGTTAACATTAACATGTCAAATCATGTCAGAATCCATCCAACTATTTGAGACTCAGCTTGGGCGGTCTTCATTCACTACCGTAGATGCTTAGATGGACGAAATACTCAAACCCTTTCAACCACGTGGACCATCTACTGTAGCATAGGTCAACCTCTGCGCAAAATTGTGGCTTAAGTCTCTAGTTCCGCTCTGATTCCGCTAGATCGTGGCCGCTCTGCATAGGTGTTGGTGGCTTCCAAATGGACTCGCGGGTTAATCATATACCCCAACAATGCATGTGCTCATTGAGCTCAAAATTCAAGGCATAGTAAATCCAGGAAGTGACATGATGTTTTGATTCTGGTACGTTTTCTGTGACCAGATTTCTCTGACCCACCCGTGGCTAGCCCAAGAGGTGCTATTCCAATTTGAACGGTTTCTCCCGTCGCTGTGTCACCAGTGACAATCACACAAGGCTTAGGGCTTAGGAGTAGCATGTGAGACCTCCCACTCAAAAGATTTGCGACTTGAAGTATCCAATGTCCAATGATGTCCATTTGTGCAGCCCAAAAAGTAAGCCCGGCTAGTCCTGACCTCTCGCAGAATGGCGGCATACTCTTTTTAAATCTCATCGAAGCTGGGCTTGGAGGTTTTCTTGCCTCCTTTGTTGCCCAGCGTGATGTCTCTGGTTTCTGCTTGCATGCACATGTACTCGCCCAGCAGAACAGCCGTGAGTATCGCAGGGATCTGGATGATCCACCATTCGCCGGTGGCTGGGAAACCTCCAAGGATGGCCAAGGTAGGTTTCAGTACACTTCCAGGGTTCAGTGATGGGGTTCTGGACGTTAGAGGAACGGTGACGAACGACTCTCTCTAACAGTCATAATCAAATCAAGATATATCAGTCAAACTCCAGATACGGTTCTTTGTCAAGCTCTCATCTTTGATCAAACATGCCATTTTTCTGGTCGAACGCCATGCGGTCTCGTCTTGCCCTTCACGGCCCCTTCCACTGTTGTAGGGGTGGTATAACCTGAAGGGCCCTGCAAGATGTGAATCAGCCAAGGTCTATGCGCATGGCGTCGCAGAACGCGCGAAGAAAGTGTGACCCGAGAACACACAAACACAATAGGCACTTACATAATTCATCAAACCATATCAAGCCACAAGATTTGGGTCTGTATACTATATTATTATATAATATTAAATGGCTGGGTCGCAGTTTTGGAGAGCCACTCGGAGTGTTCCAGGAGGATTTCTGCAAGGGCAAGTGATCGAACTGTCCCAGTCCCTTCCCAAAGCTGCTCGGAAGCTGGAAAGGGTGGAATGCTTGCAGCCAAGTCTGGGGCTCCGACCTTCAGCAAAGCAGGTGGCAATGAGGTGAAAAATATGGTAGGTCGCGACGAAGTCCAAGCCTCAAGTGGCTTGGCAACACAAACACCAGTGACAGCCAGTGGGTGCTCTCAGACTCATCTGGGTGAGTTCCTGGTGTTACTTCCCTGTTCAATTCGCCCCCCCTGCGAATCTTCTACATCCGAAACCGCGACCAGCAACACATGAGTGTGACGCAAGCGACGGGACGCGCGCAGCGGCCGACCGAGCAGCATTTCTTGGCTCGTTGCACCACAAAGCGTAGCTCAATGGCCATGATCAAAGAAGTGAACCACAAGGCAAAGGTTAAGATCAACCCACGAGTCGTTGTCCAGGTGTAGGCCTGTTCAATGACCAAAGAGCTGAGTTAAATACGATCTGTTGCGAAACCTTGTGATTTTAATTTGGGAGGAGCAACAGACCTGGCTTGACAGTATGTCCTGAAAAGGCCATGGCTGTTAAGCTGTTAGATGCTGCTAGCAGTCACCCCCTAAAGGCTTGCAAGGAGAGGTCTAAGTCTATGCCTCCAACCTCTTTGCAGACTGACAACCTTCAGCACACAACAGGGGTCCCACAGGTTTGCGGTTTCACGACTGCCGAGCAAACTGGAGAACAAAAACCTGTTTTTATGTTCAATTTGCGATGCAAATGACCATTAACATCCATTAACTATAACTAATCAATATGGTTGCTACCACAGAGTACACGGCACAACACTGACCAAGCAAGAGCTGTTGGATTCTGGATGCGGTTATCCTCCGAAGGCTCACCCCGCTTGATGAAACCACCTTGACCAACCTGTAAACCATCGATGGTACCATGGAACCACCGAACAATGACCGTCACGATCCCAAACTGGTCAGGGCGGCCTCTGGTTGAAAAAGCTGTGCAGCACCTTGCTCCTCACCCCAAAACAAATCACCCATGGCCACACAGGAGCCCAAGCAAAGCCAGAACGAGCTTTGCATCACCAAGATCCTCGGTTTCGGGAGGTCAGTGCTTCCACAGCTCACCGGTCGTGTCGACCCAGGATGACTAAGCTTGAGCAACACTGCAACACCCCTACTAAATTGGTCCGATTGGTTCAGCAAATGTCTACTCGCGTTCAAACGACTTGGTCATTGATTTTTGGATTTGGGTCGGCTGATGCACCGCCCCGAACTAATGTATATAGTCAATCTGTTTCCTGTTTGGCCTTCTTTGGCTCACTGATGAAACCTCTGATGTGTTGCTTTGCGATGTGGTGGAGTGGAGTGTGTCGCGTGCTGACTGCAGGTGATTGGTGCTGCGACATGCCGCAGCGGTCATTTCCCAAACCATTACATAATTGTATATGTGGCCTTTTTACCCACATTGGGATGGTTTCAGGGGTCAATCAAGGTAGGCATGTATACCATACATAGATGATCTGGGTTTGTGATGTGCTGCATTTGTGCGCCTATGATTTGAAGTCGCGCTCCTCAGGATTTACTTCTCTGAATCTCAAGTCACAACCTACGACCGTTTCCAACTCGAAGACATCTATGTGCTTGAATGCATCAGGCCACCAATCAACACCAGTTGTCCTGTTACTGTTCCACCACAAAAACCCACTATGGCCATCTATGGCCTCCTTACGGAAGCCGGTTCTCAACAGTCAAAGCCCAACATAGAGGGCCTAAAAACCTCATCGAACGGGATCATGCAACCGCACGGGGTACGTTCCTTTCTGCCACCACAGCTCTGGGTGGTAATCTTGCGCGGGTTGAATTGCTCCGCGCCATAGAAGCGGCCCGACATCGCGGGACCAGTGTCGGAAACCCTGGGGATTCACCAACGGTGCTGACTGGCTGGCTGTGCTCGATCTCTTTAGAGATTTCGATAGTTGACTCGTCCTCAATTAGGTTGAGGAAAGGATCTAACCGTAACCAGTGGCAGGTTCAGGGATGTGGATTGTGCGATTGTGCGTGCGTTGACCGAACATCGGTTACAATCGAGTGCCTGATCGGTGTGCTCGGTGTTGACAGCTTGAGGCTCGGAGCTTCACCGATCCAAATTCCAAACCATCGGAATCGGAAGTCCACTCCTTTGGTTGGAAAAAGGGTGTGTGATGTGGAGGAGGGAGTCCGTGCGTTCAGCAGTTTTGTGCGCATGTCCGGGGTGGTTTGTGGCACCTGGAGCACTCGAGGTTCGACAGCTCACGTTTAAAGTTACATGGTTGTCATCCAGCCGAGGGCTACCATCAAGCATGCCCAACTGCATGCTGAATGTTTTCCCTCTCCAAGACATGAAGGTTGGCCAGGAGGGTCCAGCTTATTCTTGAGGTCATGTTCTGTAAGTGGCCCCAATCCGGCTCATAAAGAAATAGGTGGACTCCATTGTGGAAGGTAAATAGAACTTCATGGGCATCCTTTCCTTTATGATCTTTATCATTTATGTGTTTTTCAGCGCGTCTCCAGCTTGAGCCGAAACCGCAGGCTGACACACCCTCGCGTAAGAACGCCAGTGTCCGATCCCTTTGTCCAATTGTTCACCAGGTACTGGTATTTGGCCACACGACCTGAAGCCACACAACGTGTCTTCTCTACACAGCAAAGCCGAGTTTCGATTCTCCAGGTCCAAGCCTACAAAGTAGAGTGGAGTGGACCTCCAATAATAGCTATGGACAATGTCCAGGCCTTGCCAATATCCAGGTTTCAACAAATGATGTGCTACCTGTAACTTATAACATCTTGTAACTTGAAGGTGCTGTGTGGGAGTAATGCCTATAGCAGGAACGAGTAAGCACATAACGAACAAACAACTTGACAAAAAAGGAAACAACAAACGTTTGGCCATGCCCAGTTCGAAGTCCATACTCAACAGAAAGCAGGTTTACCACAGCCCTGATTGTAGCTTTTATCGGATCTGCGGACTCCGGGCTAACCATTCTCATTTGGCCATTCTGAGTGCTGAGGTCTCTGCCAGGCATGCCAACGCCACGGCTCATATTGGCTCTCTCCCCGCGCGCTGGTCAAACATAGATGTGTTTTTCGTCTGATCTAATTGCATCATGTGGACAAATGTAGCTTGCAGCCTGATTTGTCACGTGCCTTCTCTCACATGTCTGAGTTTCGAAATCTCGGGAACGAGCTTTAAACAGAACAGATCCTGACAATGGCACTGGTAGAGCAACGAGCAATGGTTTGCGGTCAGGTCCACGCAGGATCTCATAGGGCTTGAAAATTGTGAACCCCCAACTATTCTTGTTTCTTCAAGGAGGGCGCAAAAAGAACTTGTCTTCGTTTGGTCTGATATAGATGTTGCTTAGAGTTGTCCCACCCTTTGCCTGCCATGTCCAAATACAAAAGCGCTGACCATCCACCACGTCACTCACCGTGCTTTGCGGTGTCTAACAAGTGACATTTGCAATCCTCGAGATATAGCCACTTCATGCCACTTCCATCCTCCAGCAACTTTAATAATGGCGTAGATGCCGGGAGCAATGTATAAAATCCAGATTCATCTGAAGAACTTGTGGATTTCCAACATGACGTAACCATCGCAAAAGTTAGTGGACCGCAACATCGACCTACACTCCGACTTTCCAACATGGAAGTGGAGTGAACAGTATGACACCCCAAGCAGAGTAATTAAACTTCGATGGTCCTTTGCAAACATTGCTTGTCGCCATTCACCAAATCGGAGTCTAGAACGACAAAGTTTTCCAAACGGGCCTGGCGCAGGGCAGCAAGATCGGAGTTGGGCACCGAAGGAGCCTGGGAGCGAGGGTTGGAAAGCTGAGAATGGAGAGCCAGGTTGGCTTCCTGATTGCTAGTAGCTTCTTGTTACTAGTAGTAATGGCCTCCAACCTACTAGCGATGGCCTCCAACGGCTCCAACCTAAATAGATGGGGTCCTTATGGGGATGACGCTAAAAACTACCTATCCCAACATTTTGCCTGGATCCTGGACTGGATCCCAACATTTTGCCTGGATCCTGGACTGGCTGCACGTCATGGCTCCAAGACTGCGTTGCAACCCAACGTGCGGTGTTCACGGTGACTGAGATATCTCAGTGAAAGAGCTGTGACAAGCAATTCTTTCTAGATGCATCGGAGTCAACTGCCTAGACAGGGCCCAGACTTTTCAAGTTTGAGTCTGTCAACCAATTTCTGACCCAAAATTCTTGCCAGAATTCGATCCGGGAGCTTGACGGAGCGACCCGGCCTTCTGCAAGGTGCGCTCCAAGCATTGGAAAGCCTTGCCACCCGGTTGCAGCTCACTGCAGGACTTGACTGGAGCCAACGACGGGCCGGGCGCCTGCCCCAACCCCCTCCAGGCCGCGGGCGCGCAAAGCGATGGTCCACCCGGGCTCCGCGAGCCTCAGTGAAAACCCATCACTTTTCCCAAGTGGACCGACTGCCTAGACAGGGCCCTAAGAGTGATCCCCACTTCAAGATTCCCAAGTGGACAACTTGACTCCGAGAATCACCTTGTGGCTGAGCCAACTTGGGCTATGACAGGCCACCATAGCGGTAGCAAAAGTTCACCAAAGCCTGGTCCACCGACATAGCTTCGTGTGTCAGATGAGGTGAGCAAAGAAGCTCACGTTCTGTGATTCACAGGGTGTTGGGACCCTCTGGTTAACCAAACGTGCATCGGTAGCACTCACAGTCGAATCCACAATGCACCTAAGTGCAAGTCGCGCAAGTCCGTGGAGGCCTTGAAACAAAGCAAGTTCTTGGCAGTTGGTATAGCATTTGCTCCTGACATGCATCACACGATCCATGCGACGCGTGCAAAACTTACGGATTTACAAAGGTTGAAAACTCATTGTGTACTGTCTAGGACCCTAGGAGGTCTGTGAGATGCCAAGCACACGGAAGAAAAGGAAGCGTTGCGGCTTGCAAATTTGAATATGTGCAGCTGGTTCCAGAGTCAAGAGTATGATTGACACATGGCCCATACTTGGGCAACGCACTCCAGTCAATTTGAAATTGGGACACCTGTTGGGGCATCTCACTCAGGCAGATTACCTTAGAGCCTTAGAATGCTTTATAAATAACTTATAATATATATATATATATACAGTATATAGAGGAAAAGCAAAACATTCAGAAAAACGCAGCGAACAGCCTGCACTGGCGGTGCAAACATAATCAATCACACATGGGGTCAGTCCTCCTCCTCCTTCGCTCTCATTTGGCCACGCATAGCGAGAAAACCTCCAAACGATTCCAATCGCGAACAGCGACCGTTCCAGTCTTATAGAATTGTGCCTCCCGGAAGGGGTTGGAAACAGCAAAGTCAAAGATGAAAATTATGGAGAAACGGAGAAACCATAAGAAAGGCAAACACATCGTCTTAGGAGCACACTGGAGTCCAACCATGATGCCATGACGAAGGCAAATACGTAATATATAAACTCCCGGGCATCGCGTCAATCAGACGCTGCTGCCGCAGGGGATCCTTCAGTCTGAATTACAGGACCTATGTGGTTCATGTATATAATTAGTATACAGAGTGTCTGCCACACATCCACTCCTAGAGCTGACAAGATGGAAGGAGAACAATTTCCAAACACCTGGGGGGAGGGACATCTACTGACTTGTTCCCGAAATGTGGACTGTAGAGTTGTGAGTTCCAATGGGCAAACATGCTGCTTGACGCATTGAGGAGTCGCACAAGGTGTGTTACCATGTTGGATTATATAAACCATATCATCCCTAGAGTCCTAGAGCTTAGGGCCTATACATGCCCGGGCCTAATTACACGGTGGGTATGTATCAAATCTGGGATCACATATTCCACGCTGTGAAACAACGGAAGCACCCACCCCTCAGTTCCCTGCTGCAGCAAGCAAGCCTCAGGTAAGTTTGCGATGTTTGGGATGTTCAGGTCCAAGCTTGTCACCAAGTGAATTGCTTGTCACCCTGTGAAGCTCCAAAGTGACACGTGAAGGTGTTGGCACATTGCATGTCACTCGGTCATCGTCCCTCCGATCCCTCCCGAATGGCCATCGGTCCCAAAGCCATCGGAGCAGGGTCCTTGTTTTGCAGCCTCGATGGCCATCGTCCCACGTCTCGAGCTCCGAAAATCAGGGTGGCCACACGTCTCGAGCTTGGTCCAAGCAAAGCCTCGAGCTGGGGAAGCTGGATGGCAGTGGATGGCAGTTTTGGGGTGTGATCTGATCAACCACCAGTACTTGGAGGACCTTCCAAAGTCTTCCAAACAAGCTGTGTTGGCACACGAAGAAGAACAATCGTCAAGGGAAACAATGGCCTCTTCGCCTCTTCCCTGCCGGACATGTCAAACCTCTCGCCCCAACCTGCTACAGCAATAGAGCAAAGTCTGAAGGCACCGCAGGGCCTCGAACCAGCGCCGGACATGGCAGACATGGAAGAGTCTCAAGAAGCTGGAAAAAGCAAACTTAAAGTCTCAGGAACTTGGATAACAATGGCCTCTTACGAGGTGTTGCAGTAACTCAAAAACAGGGCAAACACGGCATATCTTGATGATTCTTGATGCACACCCCTGACCTTCCAACACGCCAAGGCCTTGACGAGGAGTGATGGAAACATATTTGGAAACATATTCAAATGTCTCGGGAACAAACAGAAGCTCGGTCATCCATCAACTTCCAACCTGGGACTTGGGGATTGGGTTCCTTGATCCACTGGTGTAGATGAGGCCCCAAAAATCCACGACATGTCCAATGTCAAGAGTTTGTGGGACAAAAACCAACAAGTGAACAACAACACCCTCAACCTATCAAACTCACATGGACGATTTGCTTGAGAAGTTGCTTCTCCGGACACGCTGTTCTTTCATGTTCTTTCACACTTGTCCCCT